ATACAGTTCAAGGCATTCATTGAATCAATTCGGTCACTCATCTTCCACAGCGATTCTGAATAAAAAAAAAACTAACTCTGGATTAGAGACAATAACGACGGCAAGCTTATGAAACGAAAACGCGCACAAGGAACTGGTCACAGCGAGAAGGCCGCATTTGTTCTTTCGTGAACTTCACGGTAACATCAGCGCTATGCCATATTTTGCAATTGTTCATGCTCTCTCAAGTTAAGAGTCTCTAGTTGCACTGAGCCAAAAAAAACTTTGTGTTGTGCTGTTGAACCTATTCATTGGTCAGAAATAAAAGATGGAATTGTCGCATCGTTAGCAGCCTTAGCATTTTTATCTGCTGGTGCTGAGGAAACGCTGTTTATCACTAACACAGAAGATGGATCGCCTTCACGAGCCGTACTAAACTAAGCACAGTTAACATTTCATCGGTGTTTTGTTTCACAGCGTGAATTCCCTATCACCCACGCTTGCGGATGGAAATGTCGGACTATTTCACAAGCTTTATGACGCTGCAAGATCAGTGAACGACCCCCGCGGTTCATCACAGTTCGCCATAAAGAGCCCTCCAAACTCATGGCAAAACGGAGATCGAGGGGCAGACTCTTCCTAGTAGGCTACTCAAACAACGAAGAACAACCATTACTTCCTCCACAATTTGAAGTAAAGCTGATTTTCAAGAACATATTGTGAGCACGTTCCAACTTAACATTTCCTTTGATTTGACCTCTTTTACTTTCACGTACACCATTCCTTCTTGTGACTCCAACGTGATTATCGACTTCCTTGAAGTTTGCGATTTCAGTGGAATACAGCGGAAAGCGCACTGACCCCTTGGTTTCACTTCGCTACATCTTGACTGAATGGAAACTTTTCCATCCAAATAATGAACAAATTCCGCATTTTTTGTAACCAAATGTCTTTCTACTATATTATTATTGTTCTTATATTATTATTGTTCTCTTCTTTTTGAAGTTCAACGCATAGTAATGGAAGGACATTGATAAAGGAACATTTCCTGTACGAGGCCGGATGAAGAACAAGAGTGGAAATAATAATCGATGCTTGTATAAAGCATCTTCTGCTTTCTACGATTATAGGAATAATTCTTTAACACTTTATCTGGGTGAAGTGAACTGGCCGACTGTGAAATTGTACGTCCGAGTGGCCGAGCGTCGTGTTTCTCGCAATTAGTGTCGCCTACAGTCAGACATGATCAGTGGCTTAGGTATCCAAGACAGCCTAATATGTAAATGTGGCCGAGCTAATGGCTAGCAAACCAGCATGTAATTGAGCGTCACAGATGGTGCGCCTTCACCGAAAACGGTCTCAAATAGTGAGCCAGATGTGGAGACGAAGACTTTTACATGAGCATAAGACGGACTGAGCCAACAGGGCCAAAGGCTCTGCGAGAATGATTTCGTTGTTCGCATTCGAACCCTTCTACTTATAGCACTACGGCCATTCGATATTGGGGAGTAAGAGAGTTTAGTCGACGAAGTTGCCGACCACCTTTCTGAACTAGTGCTTAATTGCGCCACTAATCGCTAGTCATAACATGACCCTTCGCCGTTTCGTATTTAGATAACCCAAATTAGTGTGGACTTGAACATTAAGTGACGAACTCCTTAAAAATTCATGCTAAGAAGACCGACATTTCCGTGAAACAGTTGTGCCGACAGGTGACCACACGAAGCCATGACGGATGCGAGGAAAACGTTGTATTCTTGTTGTTCTTGTTGTATTCTTCCTTACTTGATGGCAAAAATCGAACAGTTAACAAATGCTTGAAAGCCATCATATAAAGATAACTGTGGTTATTTTTTAATTATTTCTTCCAGGGCAAATGTTGGAACCAAACTCCTTACGTCTTTTTTTCTAATGCAGCTAACTTTGTACAAAACTCCATCGTCATATCGAGTAAGAGAGGTCTTTTAGTTATATTTGCAGAGAGAACACTTCAAAATATTGATTAGTTAGCCTTCATGAAGAACCTTCCTAGAACCAGCACAATTTCCATTCTGCTGATATTTTGCTGGATGGATCAGTTTTTCTAGGTTTTTCTAGGTCGTCATCACAAACATTCGCAGACATTTCCAGAATCACAATGTAGTCACTTTTTCATTTATTGCTTATTCTTTCTTTTTCATCGCACTGTGTGACGTGAAATGAAACCACAATGGTGATTTTTCTCCGCTGATGCCGAGACATTAGCAGAACTCTGTACCGCACGTGTATACGGTGGGGATTGAATCCGCTTTCATCCTTTCAGAGAGCTAATCACCACACCACCATGCGAGTCCTTCGTCTTGCCTTTCTCTCTGCCCTGTTTTAACCTATAAGTGCTATCTGCAATCACCCATCAACAGGATTGATCTGGGAAGCACTAATCGGTACTGAACCAAGTTAAGACGATGGTGTAGTATGTATCATAGTGTAGACACTTTGTTAACATAGACCCCCAGAAAGGGTAATAGCGACCTTGGTTACCACTGCAGATACCTGCGGTCCGGTGTTTTCCAAATACTTCAGCATCATTGTAGTATATCACATCTTGGGCGCGCGTGGCGCAGTGGTTTGAGGCATCACTGCGACACACACGTGGAATCGATCCATCACTCATGGCCCACCAAGCCTTCCATCCCTCCGGGGTTGGCAAATTGGTACCAGATTTGTCTGGGAGGATAGCAACACTGGCTCGATGCATCGGTAGGCCTCCGCGAGTCATTGTAAAGGCCAGATATGCATTCGATCACCTCCAACGATACTTAATGAAGTCGAATGCATGGCGCATTTCTCAGGGGTTGATCAACGCCGAGAGCGTTATCCTTTTTCATCACATCATACCCATCTATGAGAAAAAAGAATAGGCAGTAAATATAAAGTTGCTACATTGTAATTTATATTGCAGCTTCAGCTTAAATGGGTTCAATGCCGATTTGTACTACACAAATCAATCCGTTGGTAGATGATTGCTGACGGCAGCGTTAGGTAGGAAACTATGAGAGAAAGGCGAAACCAAAGACCCGCATGGTGCAGTGGTGAGCACGTTAAGCCCTGCAAAGGGTAGTAGCTGGTTCGATCCCCACTGCAGATAGCTGCGGTCCGGAGCTCTGCAAATGTCTCAACATGTCTCAGGTTGTTTTCCAGAATTGTTTACCTCTCAGCTTAGCTTTCGGATAGAAATGTTGCAACCTTTCATAACCTAGGTGAGCCTCTAACGATTGAACCTACTAAGTCGTGAAATAGTGGAGAGGGCTGAGTGCAGACACTTCCTTCATCTGCAATCCCGCTGAACACTATGTGACCATCGTTGAATCTAATCACCAAAATTTCACTCATGAACTTTTGTTAAGAGCACGGTCAAATTATGTTGATATGCGTGAGCTTCGCTCGCTAACTCCACTCGAACCTCTCACACTGTTCGCACCTATTTTTTCACCGCACTCGGTCAGATGGCAGCCACGGATGGACAGTCTGGCTCCTCTGCGGAATGCATTTACTGATAGCTCTGCTTCCGCATAAAAACGTTGATCTCTTCCTTACCTTGGCTGACTGTGCTGCACCGATGAGGTCATCGCTGTACATCGCAGTTTGACACTCGATGACATCACTACATCCGTTCAGTTGTGGTGCGGCAACAAATCGATGCAGATTGAAGTCCTGTACTACAACCTCTGTACAAGTTCATATTGAGAAAATTCTTTCGACGATGCACTTGCAATCTCTCGAATTCGCTAATCGAAGAAAAGGTCATGACGAAAAGAATGATTTCCGAGGAAAACCTCTAAAGATAACATCGTGGGCGTTCTTTAGTACACTTATGCCCTTCCAACGAGCAAATACGAAAGCCTTAAACTAATCTCATTTAGAACAGAAAAGGGTAGATTGAGGTCCTCAGTTCCGCTGTGAGTAATAAGAGACCTCGGAAAGTGTACTCGCCGGTTCAAATATGGCCTGTGGTCTGAGTTTCACGTCACCATCAATGTGTTTCTAATCTCATTCAGTTGCGTCACCATAGTTGATTTCCGGAAAGAACCTGCTATATGGTGAGTACGGATTTGCAGAAGGCATTGACTTGGCAGAATTCCATTCAAAATCCATTTTCTAGCCTTCGAAAGCTACTACTACATAAGGCAGAGTTTCGTAAGGGTTAAAAACTTGGTTGACTTGTACCTTCGCAAAATACTACCACTCTACCTGATGTTTATTGCAATAACGAACAACACTAGTGAACTAAACTCGACAAATAAAATAATAACACCAAAAGTCTTACTTCGGGCAAATAAAATAGTGACACCAAAAGTCTTCAACAGCTCACCAGTACTAGAATCATCCCATAAAAATCTTCGACCTACCCCATTCAGCAAACGCAGAAATCTTAAAACCGGAATGTTTGCAAAATGGAAAATCACTTGTACATCAATATTAAGGATAACAGGTCGTTACAAATGAACTAAAAACAGAACAAATAAAGTGTTGCTGACAAAAAAAACTTAGGTGGTGAACGACAATAATTGCAACTAATACTGTAGAATCATTGTAAAATACAACACTCCTTAAAACATTTAAAACATTAACCATTAAGTCACAGTGCTCCAAACAAATGTTTAACACCTTTACAACCTTGTGCATTGATTCAAATGCATACGGCAGTAAGTCGTCCTGTGTTCTATGTTGAGAACAATGCACACCACACCGAGCGAACAAGCATCAGACGTGCTTCCACCTGGCTGCCATGAAAAACTAGGCCTAGCTGCGAAGGGGTTGGAAACAAACGAAACCAATTATGCCTAGTTATATGGCACTATCATAGTCTCCTAGTTTAGCCAGTCAAATCATGAACTTTTCCTACATAAACAAAACAACAACAAAACATTAACATGATTACACACATCCTACACATTCGAGAACAAAATCATCAACTACGGCTAAAATTTGGACCGGATCTAAACACTCAATTCACAGGAACTTAAACAACTTAAATGAACCTAATGAGCATTCTTTTCAAAGGTCAACTCTACTGTTTTCAGCGGTAATTCTTCAGATGAGTCCACTCCTTTGTGCTTAGCCCACTCTTGGACTTCTCCACTAGCGAATAACGTGAAAATCAAAGCACCAGTTGTTAGGATAGCAGCTGTGAACCACAAAACGCTTTGCCACTCTTCTTGGGAACCCTAAAAACTGTTAAGAAAACCAGCGTCCTCGCCACATGAAATTGTGACCACAAACATTTGGTGTGAGAGCCGATGTGATCATCGGCGAACCAATTCCGGCTAAGCAGGATATAGTGTTGCCCATTCCCATTATAGTGCCAGAGAATGAAGGAGCTATGTCAAGATAGTTTACCACGAAACCAGAATACTGCAGACCAGAAATGGCCATTCCAGCCGTAATGAACACTATAACAAGGGCCTGAAATAAAAAACCGAATGGTGTTTGCAAGAAAGTCAAATATTACTTGTAACACTTGAACCCATACTCACCTCCTGTCCACACCCACAGTAACCGGAAAGTACAAGGAATGTTGCCTGACCGAGCAAAGCTGCAAAAAGTAGAAAACTATTTTTGAATTTGAAGCTCGATAGATTAACTCGAAAATTGGTTCCTTATCACTTTAGAGCTTCCAACCCGTTCGAAGTCGAAGTTGCACGGTTACATTCATTACCATCTCTTAGATATGGAACTTATCTCTCACTTTTTCAAGAAGTACCACGATTCCAGTGAGAAAGAAGACGTGAAAATTAGCAAATATTTAATATACTATCCAACTAGAACGTCATTTTCAAAAACGCTCCGCACTACAATGTGTCCGTATATGAAATCATTGCAAATGATCACTGTTAGGTCTCCTCAACCTCGAAGCCTCTGTCAACTCAACCCTATTTGCTACCTCTCTAAGGAAGCAGTTATTCCGTTACAAATGCTATATTTGTTACAAAAGAATGACAACCGCTAAAAATGGATGTTACAATGCGAAAGAGAACTAAAAACCCTTCAGCAACAAGCAGCCAAAATCCAAAGACGCCGCTCCTCTCTCACTTCTTTCATAGGGCGACGATCATTTGCAATCAGAAAGGCGGGATATTTGCCAAAATTGACCAAGAATGAATTTCAGGTAACCTCCTTTCCTGTATTAAAACTAAGGTAAAGAAGAACTAACGTTCTTCTTCAAAAGTCAACTACACCATAACGGCAAGGAAGCATTCTGACTGTCAAATTGCGATGCTTCCATTTGAGGTCAGGAAACTGGTACCAGACCAGTCTAGAATTAGTTCATTACCTTCAATCCACCAGCAACAGCATGGTCACCGCTGGATCAAAGAGAGAATCGAGTCGACCAGCATTCAACAACATTCAGAACGAGGAATAAGCTCTTTAAGCAGCAGCAGAACCAACACGTAAGTTCGAAGACCCTTGTGGATAGTACTCGCGAGGAATAAAACTGAATTTCAAGAAATGCTGCGATCCTCACAACATGTGATGTCAGGTCATGTAGACAAAAATACCTTAACACAGAAGACAGGGTGCTGGTTTCAACAGAACCGCCGATGGGTTTCCGAAGACTAGAGTACGCAGGAAGTTTAGACAAAGGAACAAGCTTCCACCCATCACTCACAGGTTATACGGAAATTCTATAAAACACTCCGTTAATCCACAACATCTTCGTACTTCAAATTTCCAGATATCCGAATACGAAACTCAAATTATTGGCAATTCTAAAGCAAACGTGGCAGCCGGTGACATCAATGATGCATTCAGGTACACCATCGCGTCCAGCTGAGTAGAATCCCACCTGTTCACTCGCTCCACCGTTTAAAATACAAGCTGCAACGACTAAAGGCGAAAAAATGACCTGGTTCCGAAGACCAGAATTTGATCACCGCAGAATGAGCGAAAGTTGCACTTTCATAACGTCGAACATCTACAGATCCAACTGATTTCCAGCCCATCTTAATTATCGCTATATAGAGTTTAAAACCACAAATATATTTGAACATAAATGACTCATTGAAGGCAGCACGAGGCGAATATTTGACACTACGAAAACTGAATCCTGACAGCCATTTAGAAGCCATAAACTTCGAAGAAAAATAAAGTACAGGAACACTTAAAACAGCATTTCAAGATTTTCGTAGTCTGTGCTCGTGAATCACGTGATACTTAACAAACAAACAAAACACTTCCATTTGTCGCCTTTTTCGCTTGCAATCACCATCCGTGGAGGTGACCTGTTTCGTTCATTCTCACATTCACGAAGTTCATCCTTCCTCCTCATCTCTATATTCTTTCACTTCCTGAAAAGCTGCTGCGAACACAATCGAGTATAAACAAGTACAGTTTGGTCATTAAATGCGTTTAGCCTTTATTATATAGTAGGCTCCTCTCTTAAGCATTGAAATCCACTGGTAATAAACATAGAAAATTTGTCGAATTTTCGCCTTTGAAAACAGAGCTCGATATAGGTGGCACAAGATTCTCACCTATATCGAGCTGTGTTTTGTACAACGTTGCGAAAACACAAATCATCAGTTGCGCTAAGCGGTGCGTTCCCGAAATCAAGGTGATGACATCTCCCATGAAGGCACCAGACGATCCCTTCTTCAACTCTTACTGACAATCTACTTCAAATGTCCATATTCGTGTTTTTTACTAGATGCCCTAAATGGACATGAAAATGAAATTGCGTAACCAGGAAAAAAAACTAAACAGGAAAAAAGAACTAAATCGATTCGTTACCGAAGCACCGCGGTTTCTTCACAAACTGTGTCTTCTCTTTTACTAAGTAAAAATAAATTCCAAGTGCTTCATCATGATATTTAGCTACCTCTACGCATAATTGAGCATAATAGTGAGAGAATGAAAAGTCAATGGAGAAACAACAAACATTAGCACCTGCTTCCCGTTTGTTCAAATTGAGTTATATTGATTTTTATCAAAATGCAGTTGTAGACAACGCCGACAAGATGGAGTCGCTACGCTTACCTCTATATATGAGAATCGTGAGGAAAGGATGGAAGTATTTCTTGACTGGTCGTTAGTTTCATTTATCAATTAAGTTTTAATTTGCGAGTTCATTAAGAACGACGATAATAGTGTCACATTAACCCATATAAGCAAAATTTCATAACTTCAACTTCTCTTCTTTGAGTTTATTCATTGAAAGTTGGAAAGTCGGTTTTCTTGAAAAGAGAACACAGGGAGACCGAAAATTTAAAATAGCGCCTTTAATATAACCCACATATTCTAATAGTTATCTAACACGAAATACTCACTGGCGTGGGCTGAATATGCGGTTTTGGTCCAAAATATCCCACGTCCTATGGAATACACTCGTGCATGGATACATGCTCTGACACGGTATGCGACAAGGTCCAGTGTGCGGAAAAACAAAGCTAGATGTTCACTATTCCGACATTTGTTAACCGTTACCTCTTAGAATAGCAATACATTCCCGAGCCAAACACCGGACGCCTTAAGGCCTAGATGACTCTGCAATGTGTTGAAACTCCAGCTACAAAACCAGAGCTCGATGTTCAGTTAAAGTTCTCACATGATGTTTTTAACGCCAAATTATCGTATTGTCGCTAATCGTCAAATCACTTCAAAACGCACTAGTAAAATCCTCAGCAGTTCCAGTCAGAGGTACACAGGTGCTTCCATGAGCGCCAGCGACTGGACAGCATGACATTTCTGTTTAATGACCATGTCAACTTCCACTTTTTGCTGAGACGATGCGAAACCTATGACACTCTGCCTAGTTACGACTCTGTTCGTTAAACTCTGCTCTGCACGATTAGGTATACAGAACGGTAGCATCTCGTGTACTCCTGGATTAGACATGTGGCTCATTTGTTGGAGACGACTCTAAACTGACCCCCACGTGGTAGTCATTGACCTAAGACAAAATAACAAAGTGCAGAATATAATTCACATGCATGAAGATACACGCAACAGAACGCACACGCACAGCGATATGTCTACGTCCACGAGAAAGGTGAAATTTAATCTGAACCTGCACATATAGTATTAAAATTACTGAACACAATACCGCCTCTGCACTAATACACGGCTCCGAGTTGATCAGTAGCTTACGGTCGCCTTTCGCCAATCTAAACTCATATTCGCCATCTTTGGACGAGGCAACAAAGCAACTAATTTGGTCAAAATCCCGTATGAGTGAGATTCGTGTAACTCAGAAATGTACCAACTGCGTACAAGTCTGCTGTTACCAAAACTTTTTCGGGATATAATTTAACAACTGGTTTAACTAGGAAGCGGATAGCTCAGTGGTAGTGATCCTGGTCACAACGAGCACGGTGTTGGTTCGATGCCGCCCAGGCTCACCAAGCCTCACATCCCTAAACAGTAGAGAAATTAGGGTTCCAGACTTGTCTAGGAAAATCACTCTTTGCTATCCATCAGGACTCCAGGATGAATCGACTTGACCAACATTCCACAACATTCAAGATGAAGTGGAAACCCTCAAGCTGCAGCCAAAGCCACACGTAAGAGTTGGAAGACCCTCGCGGATTCGATGCGAGGAAACGAATCGAATGTGAGAAGTGCTGGGATCCGCACAGTAGATGTGAAGATGAGTCGTATTTTAAAAAAGTTAAAACTCTGAACTTTTCAAGAAAATGAAATTCAGTTACAAATAGTAGAGTAGAGCAACGGACCTATAAGCATCGCAGCTCGACGAGTGTTGAGAGTACCAAGGATTTTCTTACTGCGGATGAAATCGGCAAGAACACCTCCAATGTTGATAACAATGAAGTATGCAACATAAGGAATTGCCGACAGAATACCAAGCTAAAAAAATAAAACATGAGAACAAAAAACGGTTTTGAAAGAATCATAACACCAAGAAAAATAAGCAAGGTCACTGCAACTCACCGATGACAAGTCCAGTCCTAAGACATCTTTCAAATATGAAGGAAGTGACACTAGCATTGTGTATGCTCCCCAGTCACCAGCAAAATGACCGAACCAGCAAGCCCAGACCGCGCGAGATGTTATTATGCTTTTCCACGGGGTTGGAGGATGCTAAAGAAAGCATGTTAACGACTCCGAATGATAGGAGTGTTACTGACAAAAACTTGAAAACATGCCTTTCCTGTATGCTTTCCAACACTTTCTTCAATTGCCGTTATTATATATTGTTTTTCAGCCTCAGAAATTCGAGGATGATTGCTAGGTCTATCCGATACCATGTACATCCAAAAAATACACCATACTATTCCGAGACTACCTAAATAAGATCCCGAAAATAAACAAATAATAGTGAAGTACACAATACCTGTTGAGCTAACAGAAACAGTACACAGCAATAAAACGTAGTGTAAAGGCAATGCCATATTACACAACCGAAATTTAACTGGATTTACCGAGCGTATAAAAAATGCTAGGCCATCCGCCATCAAACCCAAACTGACAAAGAAAACCAGAAAGAGGCAGCACGAAAACATTTCCGATCTGAGCACCTAAAGCAGGCATGTACGTAAAGTCAATCCGGAAAAACCTCCAAAACATGCGACGAAGTTGGATGCAAATGGAACAAACCAGCGTAAGTGACGCCAGTCAGAACAGATAACTCAAGAGGAGGACCCCACACCGACCACATGGTGTGCATAGCTGGAAAAGTGGCACCCTGCAATTTTACAAAAAAATAAAACGAAACATAACCAAAGAGAAGAGAGGTCAAAAACATCTCGGAAAACCTGCAGAAAACCGATAGCTACACGCAAGCCAGCCAAGACATAGGCATGAGCACGAGCTGCTATAGGACTCGCCAAGGTGAGCAGAGAAGAACCAAGAATGGTGATAAGAATAACTCGCTTCCCACCAAATCGGGAAGCAAGGTAACCACCCAAAACCTAAAAGGATTCCGAATTCGAAATGAACAGAAAAATTACGTGGCAATCATAAAAAAATAAATTTTCTTACCTGACTTCCGAGATAGCCCCAAAAGAACGCACCAAGTATGTGCCCTTGAGTTGCTTTGCTCCAATCGAATTCGCCAATTACCTGTATTTGCAATACAATTACTTTATTTGCAGTGGGCATGTGTATCGAAGTGGTTAGAGGTTCCTTGCAATGCACATAGGTTTCATTCCGCGCACGAGGCTCACCAAATCTTCCATCTCTACGAGCTCAGAAAACTGCTACCAGACCTGTCTGGGAGAGTAGCAGCACTGACTCGATACATCGGTAGGCCACGCGAGTAAATGTGTGGGCTAGATATGCATTCAATCACCTCTAATGATGCTTGGTGAAATGGAACGCATGACACATCCCTCCGAGAAAGATCCACGCCAAGAGCTTTATCCTTCATCGTTACCTACTTTGTAACTTTGGAAAAACTTAAAATACCAATTCTAAGAAGCATGTTGACTAAGAAGTCGATTATTTTTACCGCCTCATCGTCGCCGGGAGATCTCCTTGGGTATTGGGCTGCGATGTGCAGCGGAGAGACATCTCCTGGTAGTCTTCCCAAGCTGAAAAGGAGCCCGGTGTCTCCATTAGGAAGCCCAGCTAAGAGTTAACAAATACTAATATTAAGATCAACCACCATCCTGGTATCAAACTAGTCGCATGGGGGCAAATCTCCCTCTGATCCACAAGAGCGGCGACTGCTTGTGGTGGTGACAACTTGGGGCAGACTTTGGTTAGGCTGACCTCAAGACTTCAGAGAACCACAATGGCTAAACCAGGAAAACTCTGAAAAAAATGGAAATTTTGCTGGGGCTGCACAATTAGTGAGGACGGGCTATCCATGTATCCAAGTAAGTATCATTGAAACTAAAAGACCGCCATCCTTTCCTCTTACCTTCAAGCTCTCCATTTCCTAGCCTTATGAATAAACGGTGACTAGATAAACGATGAAGATATGACAGAATTTTGAATGAAGGGATGTATTTAGAAAAATGGAAAACGTTTAGAATCAAAAATTCAACACTCACATCATCTAGAGTTTCTTCAGCTACTATTTCCTTCCCACATTTGTTCAGTTTTCCTACTTCCACTTCGGTTGTTTTGTTTTCTGTTGTCATGCAAACAATCGCAAAGCTCATGTTCGTTCGCAGTGTATAGGTGACCAGGCATCCAAAAAAACACACAATCGCTAACGTGAATCGCGTCGATGGCACTAAGGCTAAAAATATGCGACTATAAGTGAACTCAAAGAATACTTCAATTCAAATAATTTGTGATTCCGAAGTGAACTGCTCTCACTTAACCCTTTCATGAATAACGTGAATAACGCACTAGTTACTTGTTTACACTTGAATTGGTTCACCCATGTAATATGTTTCAAGAAATCTGTTATATGACGTTCCCACTGACGTTCAATGTCAACCCAGGAAATTATTTAAATTGAAATATGGTTAGCGGCGCCACTGCGACACACATGTGGAATCGATCCCCGCGTCCATGGCCCACCAAACCTTCCATCCCTCTGGGGTCCACAAATTGGTATCAGCCTTGTCTGGGAGGATAGCAGCACTGGCTCGATACACCGGTAGGCCTCCACGTGTCATTGTAAAAGCCATACATGCATTCAATCATTTTCAACAATACTTAATGAAGTCGAACGCATAGTGCATCTCTCAGGGATTGATCAACGGCAACAGCTTTATCCTTTAGCTTTATGTCAACCCAGCCTAGGCCAGCAAACCCGTTGAGCCGGCAGATGGACGGGGTGTTAGGTCCATCGTATGATTAATGTGATGTAATAATTGGTGGTTTCTCCGAAAATATCGAGTGCGACATGCTGCTTTCTCTTTTGAGATTCTTCTTTTACTTCGTTTTCCACGTCCATTGAACACGTTAGGTACATACAATATGTGCTTTTAGTAGTCAAGGAACCATCTATTTCGACTTGTTTTTCATTTATGCCTTTCTCGTGCCAATCGAACAACTTCATTATCCACTACAGTACAGCGGTGAACAGATTTGGCTAAATTTTACTGCACTCTTGAACCTCTTACGGCTACGGTAAGGCAGTGATGGAAGAGCTGTAACCTTGTGCTGCAACTATCATAGAAGATGGGTAGAAATCTTACTTTATATGGCTCTCCTCCGTAATCGTGCTGATACAATGACATTCATTTCAACGCTATCACATGCACTTTCGTAGATGACAAGGCGTTAGAATGTGGTGCAAAGGGTTTTCCTGACAGATTTCGATGACTCTAACTATAGTAGAGATGTGACCTGCGCAACAGAATTCCAGATAGGCGTTGCTTGGTCTAAAAACCGAGCTAAATCCAGGGTTCTTGATATGTACAACGAGATAATTCTTAAGAACATCTTGTATACCACATTTATAAAGAAAATAGTGTGAAAATTCTGGTTACGCAGAACACTCTATTCATTGTTTCTAGGCATGATGAACGCGTGCGATGCCCTCCACTGGTCCGAAATCCTTTGTGCTTGAAGACATGTCGTGTGGACTGTAGACTATGAAAGTGCCTTCACTTTGTGGTTTCCAGTTTGAAGAAAGTGGGCTGAGTTTGTCCCAGTTGAGGTGTGCCTCTCCTTATGCTTTTCATAAAAATCGGACATCAAATTTTAAAAAAATCGGGTGGTTCCTTCTCGGTGGAAAGTTTAAGATCTGGTAAGTGTATTATTGGGTTGGTTACAGGAAAATGGTTGAAGTAGAACATTTGCAGTTTCAAATCCAACTACTCACTCAATGGTTTGCTGCCTCATATTGACAGGTACTTGTTCTTGGGTGTCATATTGCGATGCACAGTAGAGGATTCATCCAACCAGCAGGCTCTCCCATGCTGAGATAGAGTCCAACCTTTCCATCCGGAAGCCCAGCTAAGAGTAAATCAATACCAAAAATCATCGCCTTTTCGGTAGATGATTAGTTGCAAGATGGTAAATCTCCACCTGATCCATAAGGGCAGCAAATTGTCTGCGTTGGAGACGATCTGAGGAATGCTTCGACTAGGCTGACCATAGGCCTTCCAAAAACTACATTGACTAAACCAGCAAAGCTCCAGCCTCAGTACTCCGTACATCGATTGCTTCCGTTTACAATGTGGGCGGTGAGACAATCGCTGGGAGTTGATCAAATCTCGGTCCGCACAAGGCCTCATTAGAAACAGACAAGACAAGCACGCCCATGACATGCCATATAAACCGTTCCTTGCTATGCATTAATAGTACCAAAACACTCTCTTTAAACGCCGATCTTTACGCAGTTCTTGAGGTCGCTGGTTGCATCAATTCCATATGATCGCCCTATAAAAGACCAATAGCAGGAAGACTGATATCGCCAGTTAGATGACGGGACTCTAGTCACTCGTGTAGGAAAATACTCGTTGCAAACTGTGAAATGTTTTGGCTTTGTCGTAGAGCCATCAATTTTTCATCTAATCACTTCAAACAAAATCATATCGCAGAGCTTGTCCATTTTTCATCGCCAACGTTCGCGTCAAACGAATTTCTGTATCGGCAACTGTTACCCTCCAACTTGTACAGCTGATGAAAGAGAATTGGATGAGTCTAAAACCACCTGCGGGAAGTAATCCACAACGAAAACTCCTACGTAATTCGTTAATGGAGACTTCATACCATATTAGAAACGAGCAACGAAAATGGATACAAGATATGCTGTTGGCAAAAGATCGATAAAACTAGCTGAGAGACAGACGAAACGAAGGACCCGCGTGGTGTGGTGGTGAACGCGCTACTCCCCGGAAAGGACAATAGCGCGTTCGTTCCCCACCGCATACACCTGCGATCCGGAGTTTTACAAATATCTCAGCAACATTGAAGGATACAAGATAGGCAAATTTAAAATTGGATATCGGAATGAGAATTAAAACCGTCTTGCAAGACACCTGGCCGCAACAAGTCTCATCCATGGAAATTCCTTTCTCAAGAAAAGAGAAAATCGTCTATGGATATAGGTGCCTCTAATGATGACGAGAAGGGTATACGTATTGATGGAAAATTTGTATCGAATCTTTATTTCCCCGACGAAATCGTTATCTCTGCAAGAAGCACCAACAGACGAGAGACGATACCAAATAAGCTTAATGAAACGGGAAAAAAGTTTTGACTACGCATAAATAGGACCTCAGGTATAGTCTGTAAAGAACAGATGGTGCGAAGGGGAACAAATCGAAATGGATGGTTGTCTGATTACCCGGACCACCTCGTACAGTCTACCTTGGATGTTAAATGAACATGAAGAATAAAATGAAGGATGAATCAAATAGAACGAGAGGAGCGTGGGCTTCATTCGAGCCTCACAAAGAAACCACCAACCAATCAGCGGACCCAAAACTTCGGGCTCATCTTTTCGTCTTAACAATCTTCTCAGCACCCTGTTATGCAGCACGGGCATGGGCCGATTTTTCCACCACATCGAGAATTCTGCGCACCACCCACAGAGGCTCTGAACAATGTCTTCCAAAATTTAACCGGTACTCATACCGTCTACGTGGAATGCGCAACTCAGATCTTCGAAGTCTATCTCGCTTTGGAAATTCAGGAGAATAAACAACGATAGCGAAACAGATGGGTCGCTGACATAATAGTAGGAGGTGACAAATGAACGAAAATAACAGTGGAGTGGACTTCAACAGAATGCTAGCGCCACCTTGGATGACCACCTGAACGATGGATGGACGTGTTCGTGGCTAATGTCAACCATCTAAGTTCGCAGATGGGAATGATTTCAGGACCACGGAATAGGTCTAGCGAATGTCACCATGTCCGAAACAGATCACTACCATGGACGACGCAGCGCAAGAGGTAAACGAATGGAAATCGTGGGTCCACACTACCAGTGTCTAGAGGCCACCCAAGTATCCAAGTAAGTAATTCCATCTTCTTTAATCTATCACTAACGAAACATTGTATGCCTTCAATATTTTTTCTGTCGTTAGCACTAGAAGTCCTCTCTGAACCTCACAGAAACCATAAAACCCATAAAAAACACCATATGGGGCGTGGCTTCAAGTACAGCACGAAGATCGGTGAATCTAAACAGTACTCTGATTTTATATTTGAAGAGCAAGAAACCGGCTCTATAACATGCCGTGGAATTTGAATAATACACTGCGTCATCAAAAATTTCGGCATTCCTCATCAACTGCTTTTCGATACCGTAAGTCGCGAACTTAGTCGAGCTCCAAAGTACTCGTACCAGTCCCTTCGCATGTCTTCACTCCATCGTCGAGTCTTGTTTCTCGAAGTGAGATTTGCCATCTTGCAATTATGCTAGCACCAACGGGATGATTCCTGGAACTGGTTTCTGCTTAGACAAGCCTCCGGATGGAAATGCCGATTTCCTTCATAGCTTAGTTGGTCCTACTGAAAGAATGAACCTCACTATCCATTGCAATTTGACACCTAGTAACACACCGTAGAGCCGAAGGAGTGGTGAACCATCAGTGGGGATTTATTAAACAAAATGGTGTATGTCTACAAGATCACATATTGACTTCTTAAAAAATTAACTTGTATAACAACATATTTCCTTATTGGAACTTTCCAATTTTTTCATTACAAATTCGGTCAACGCATACAAGCAAAAACAAAAACGTTTCATGTTCTTATCCGAAAGAAACACCATCCTTATACACACATACGCTATTAGCCAAATAGAAGGAGTTATTTTGAAAACCTCCTCAATGGAAAACTTGGGCAACAGGTTAAAGCTTGAGAATCAAGAAAAAAAAAAACGGAATTTTAAGGAAAAAGGCCATGAAGTTATAGCCCTCTTGTGACCCGAACTTCCACATTAAAATCTACCCTCCTCTATAGATTTATATTCATAAATTTAACTTACGCGGTTTGGCAGTTTGCTCCATGCCTGTTGGAACACTGAAACCTCAAGATTGTATAAATTACTATGAACACGAAACGAAAGATTACGGAAGAAAGATTACCGATAAGATGTGTTTTTAAAAAGAGGTAAAGAACGAGGAATACCGATCAATAAACGTGAATCATCAGTTAAGTTTCATTTTATTGTATTTGTATTATGTATGTATTAGAAGAGAAAGTCCTTTGTAAAATGACACGGCTAGTGCGACAAAATAGGTGACAGCGCGGTTGAAAGCAATCGCTCCTATCAAAACGGCCGCTCAGCTAGACAGAACTGCACTATACGTTCTGCAATGTATTGTTGCTCGCTTCCACTTCTCTTTTATCAAACAATCAATAATCGATACAAAAAAAGACAAAACAAACAACATGCAGGAAATAGTTCGGGTTTTATGATTAACAGTCGCCTAGAAAGAGTGGTTATACTGTAATGCAAATTAGAAGATATTCTTAACAGTAGACTGTAAATATAATTATATTCCCTTCAATAGCTTTATGGCTCGTCTTAACGAAAAACCATGCGCACAACACATATTTTCCACTTAACCGACATACAGCTAGTTTCTGAAGGTTTTCCTTCGAGTCTAAAACAGCGTAGGCCA